AAAAAAAAAAAAAAAAAAGACATCCAAAGCTGATCTGTCATTCTATTCTTGTGCAAACTCACTGTAATTATTTAATTCATACCGTACGAGTCTGTAGGTGTTCTTACTGTCTTGAAAATACTTTGAAAGTCAACTAAGGTTTTTTTTAATAAAGAAGGCACTGCCAGTTGTTTACAGACAATAGTATTTTTAAAATCAAAATAAAGTATCTTTGGGCACGCCTAGGTGGCTCAGTTGGCTAAGCGTCTGCTTTGGCTCAGGTCATGATCTCGGGGTCCTGGGACTGAGCCCCGCATCGAGCTCCCTGCTCAGCAGGGAGTCTGCTTCTCCCTCTTTCTCTCCCCCAGCTTGTGCTATCTCTCACAAATAAATAAATAAAATCTTAAAAAAAAAAGAAAAGTATCTCTGTATTGGCACAAACTTGTGAAGCAAGCAGAACCAGCATTACTGTCCCCGCTTTTACAGACAAGGAAAATGAAGCCTATAGGGTTCAGGACGGGCAGCAGCAGCACCACCACCTGGGCACTTGGTGGAAATGAGGATTCTCTGCCCCAGCCCACACTTCCTGAGTGGAAAAGTCTGGGAGGGGCCCAGCAATCTATGTTAATGAGCTCTCGGGGTGATGTTAATGCTGGTCCATGTGAGAACTTGTGATCTAAAGGCACAGAGCCAGTAAGGAGCAGAACTGGAACTCCAATCCGGGCCTTCTGACCTCAAGTTTATTGCTCCTTCCATTCCAACCCCTGTCCGCTGCCAATGTGTCCTCTCCCCAACTAGACCGTAGCTCCTTAAAAAGTAAAGGTCAGATCAGGAAAACAGAGCCTACAACAGGTAGTTTCATAGATACGGTACGCCATCTTATACCTGTGCACAAATGTTTTGTTTTCCAAACGCTTTCATAACTGTTCTCTCTTTTGATTCCTACTGAAGGCACAAGTAATGGTAACCCTGTGATTTTACTGATGGTGAAACTCGGTAGAGCTCTGATTTATTAAATACTTACTACACAACCACCTCAGTTCTAAGTGCTTTGCACATAGTAACTTATTTAATGAGCAAAACACTAGGGGATCAGTACTATGATATTTTCATTTTGCAAATGACAAACTGTCCTAGGAAGGTATAGAAACAGACCCCGTAGCAAATAGTTTCATTAGAAGGGATTTAATACAGGGAACGAAATACCAGGGTTGGAAAAACCGAAAAACCAAACAAATGGTGAGGCCGCTCAAATATTAGCAGTACAGGGAGCTACCACCACCCCAAAGGTTGGAAGGAAAAAGAGAGGATGTGCTGTCATTAGAGCGAGGCACGAGGGGCACCCAGCAGGAGCTAAAACCAAGGAAGAGACCACAGTCACAGCCGGAGACACCACCCAAAGCAGGAGAGGAGGAGATCCTGTGCTCTCCCTTGCTTCGGGCCTCTAAAATTCCCCACTGCCCCTCACTGGCCAAAGGTGACTAAAAGGGCACCTGGCAAATGTTGTCTGCAGGGGAGGTATGGGCAATGGATCTACGGGGAAATAGGCAAATGACTGGCATAGGAACGGTCATAGGTTGTGGGACTTCACTAAGTGACAGTTAGTATGTGACCAGGACTTAGTTCTCTGGTTCCACGATCTAGCCTCTTCATCACTGTGCTTTAGAACTGTCCTAGGTCAAATTACTACAGAGCCAAGACTAAGAGAACCCAGGTTCTCTAACTCATAGTCAAAGGTTCTCTAAACATGGGAAACAACAAATGTTGGTGAGGATGTGGAGAAAGGGGAACCCTCTCACACTGTTGGTGGGAATGCAAACTGGTGCAACCCCTCTGGAAAACAGTATGGAGGTTTCTCAAGAATTTTAGAAAAGAAACTACCCTACGACCCAGCAATTGCACTACTAGGTATTTATCAAAAGGATACAAAAATACAGATTCGAAGGGGTACATGCATCCTGATGTTTACAGCAGCATTATCAACAATAGCCAAATTATGGAAAGAGCCCAAATGTCCATTGGCTGATGCATGGACAAAGAAAATGTGGGAGAAATATATATATGTGTATCTATTATCTATATATCTAATGTATCTATATATATATACAACTTATACATCTAACACATTTCTATATATTATATAAATATATGATGGAATATTACTCTGCCATCAAAAAGAAAAATTTTGCCATTTGCAAAGACGTGGATAGAACTAGAGTGTATTATGCTAAGTGAAGTAAGTCAGAGAAAGACAAATACCATGATGTCACTCAGATGTAGAATTTAAGAAACAAAACAGTTGAACATATGGGAGGGGGAAAAAAGAGAGAGAGGGAAGCAAACCATAAAAGACCCTGAACAACAGAGAACAAACAGGGTTGATAAAGGGAGGTGGGTGGGGGGCTAAATGGGTGGTGAGCACCCAGTGTTATATGTAAACGACGAATCACTGAATTCTACTCCTGAGACCAATATTACACTATATGTTAACTAACTAGAATTTAAATAAAAATTTGAAGAAAAAAAAAGATTCTTTTTGCCTCCCTACCACCATCATCCACAGCCCATCTCAATATATTTGAAACAAAAGTTGATTCAATGGTCAAGGTCATACAATGAGGTATCCAAGGCTACTGGCCAGGTGTAGGAATCTGAAAGCCCTTCTGCACAAAGTTCTAAAAACTCTAAAGCTGTGAAAGAATCATAGACTTCTGGGCCTAAAAGGAGTCTCTCTCAAACTTAAGAGTGCATAAAGATCATCAAGGGAGCTGGCGGAAGTATAATTACGGGGCTTATAGCACCAGTCAGGCGGTAAGGAGAGCTGAGACTTTGCACCTTTATTTTTTTAAGAATTTATTTATTTATTTGAGAGAGAGAGAATAGAGAGTGAGAACGGGGGAAGGGGCAAAGGGAAAGGGAGAAAGAATCCTAAGCAGATGCTGTGCTGAGCATGGAGCCCGACGCGGGACTTGATCCCAGGACCCTGAGATCATGACCTAAGCCAAAATCAAGAGTCGGATGCTTAATCAACTGAGGCACACAGGTGCCCCAGGACTCTGCACCTTTAACAAGTAACCCAGATGCTTAGATGCAGTTAGCCAGTGACCAATCCCCCGAGAAACACAGCTTTAAAGTGCAAAGTGCAGAAAGACTAAGGCATCGGCCCAGTCTAAGAGATGAAGGACTGAGATTTAATGAATTCAGAAACATCTGCCACATGTTCAAGAATACCACCCTTAGCAAAAGAGCATAAAGATTTCAATGAACATGAATGTCAATCAACTCCAAGTGAGGTTCCAGCCATCCTGCAGACCCATCTCACTGACCTTGGCTGCCAAGAGTGGAGGCAGCTGTGTGGTAGGTCTCACAATCCACGCAAAATGTTCCTTGCTTCTCTGCCCCAAGCATCTCCAACTTCCGGGTGAGGAGCTCCACCGTCTGCTGGACACTCTTGCCCTCAGCCACAGGCATCTGGGACACACTGGAAGGGAGAGGACCAAATCATCAGTATCCAGAGACACATGTACACTCACTGAGCCACTCATTTACCCACAGAATCACAGCTCTCCAGGGCCAGGAGTTACCTTAGAGACCACCTACCCTGACCCTCTCTCTCATTTTAAAGACGAGGAAATAGAGGCTCACAGTTCCTGAGAGCTCCGCTAGGAACTAGAACACAGATCTCAGGACACTCACATCAGTGTAGTGAACTTCCTATCTATCACACCAGTGTTTCCCAAGCGGGACATGTGTGCCAATGTTCAAGAGAAGGTTTTAAGTGGTACAGAGGCTGAGCAATTCATCACATTGAGTCATATGAGAAAGGGATGTCCTTTGTGATTCCTTCAGTTCTGACTCTATCGGGAAAATCTCAATTTGGGGTTAGTATGTTTTTACCATTTCTCGAACACTTTGAATGTGTGCTGTCCAGTACAGCAGCCACAAGCCACACGTGGCTATTTACACTTAAACTAATAAAACAAGTTAAATTAAAAACTCAACTCCTCAGCTGCACCACCCACATTTCAAAGACTCAACAGTCACATGTGACTGAAGGCTAGTGTATTAGACAATGGTGTTATAGAACATTTCGTCAATGCGAAAAATTGTATTCAACAGCCCTAGGATCAAAAAGAAAGCAAGTCTCAAGTTTATAATTTTTAGGAACTAGAGGCAACAGTATGTACAAGAATAAAACAAAACAATGAAATAAAAGATTTCCTTCTATGGTAAGTGAAACTGGCTTCTCCTTCAGAGTAGTAGATCACAATCATTAGGCATCAACCATGTGCCAGGCAGTGTCCAAAGGCCTTTAGACAAATGAACTCTTTGAACCCTCACAACAGCCCTATAAGATGAGCTATTATTTATCTCCTTGCTACAAATGAAGAAACTTAAGTACAGAGGGGTTGAGTGACTCGCATAAGGTCACAGAGCTTGGTGTGGTATAGTCAAGATTCGAAGCCAGGCAGGCTGGCTCCATGTCTGTGTTCTTATCCACTATACTAGATTTCTTCCCTAGAGACGTAGCTGCCTGTTAAAATGTTTTTAGGGAAAGTAAATAGATTCAAAAGAAAACATTAATAACTACTACAGATGGTACCTAGCTATATAAAAACCATATGTTACTGAATTTTGGAAGACACTGCATTACTTTAAGATCAACTACATGAAGGTATAAAAATGGGAGTCCTGCTGTTGCTAAAAATTGTCACTACTCTCGGTCAGAAAACACACTCATGAGCAATGAGATGATGTGCCTTATTGAGAAAAATAAGAGAATCCCTAAACTGATGTTACAGGGGTCAGAAGCCCCAGGAGTGTGAAAAACTTGACAAGGGTCCCAAACAGACTGACTGCCCATTCCCTCTCTCTGTCTTCTGCTGAAAGAACAGGGGCTTCCAGGGTTCCAAGGCTCTATGCTACAAACTTTTCATTCCATCCCTCACACATCCCCCTTACACTAGAAGACTTAGAAATGGCTCATGATATCCACAGTAGAAAACAAAGGTGCAGTAACAGACAAGCCTACACGAACCTGAGCTATCAGAAAGAGTAGTTCCCCCAGGCTCCAGCCACTGACTTCAGGATATCCTAGCCTCCAGCCCTCTCTGACTGGAAACATGCTAATATTTACCAATATTCAAAACAAAGCAAAAAAAAAAAAATCTGAAATTTAGCATTTTGGAACTCATGCCCCCAAGAGCATTAGGCCATACCTTTCTCTGCCACCCTACTTATATCATGTTAGAGATTAAAAGTCCATAGAAACTAGACCAACCATATAATTAAACATAGTAGGAAACGGATCCTGAAGAGGTGACGTGCCTGAACCCCAATCTAACTCCCAACAGCTTCTCTTTTTCCCCCCCTCTAGACTGAAGAACTTAAAACGGCCACACCAGAACCAGACACGGGCTGGTCTAACTGCATTAGGTGGCTGTAGGGAGGGGCAGGAGAAAAACCTAAAAAAAGATGGTTTCCTCGTTGCCTATCCTGCACCCCCTCTAGCCCCGCCTGCAGATTGGGTCCTACTCCGGGCATCCTATTTCCAACCCTTACGTTCCACACCCCGGGCAGCCCGATGGCCTCCTGGGAAGAAAAAGGAAGGAGGTACATAACCACCGATGGGCTCCTGGGACAAAACCTTTCACCTGCCGCCTTCCAGGACTGGGAGCATCTTCGAGCAAACAAGCCCAGAGAATCCGCAGCCCTCACAGTGTCTCCCTCACCCACACACTCCGAAGACATCTTGCTCAGCTCGTGGGGGACCGCGTACCCTGGTCCCGAGCCTCCTCCCGGGTATACTCCAGGCTCCGAGGGCCCTTCCCGACCCCAAGCGCCGCCCCACAAAGTCCCTTGCTGTCCTACCAAGTCACTCCCATGGTATCGGGCCAGGAGGGTGGCAGGAACAGTTGACCCACAGTGTTCTCCGGCCGCCCACACTAAGTGAAACCCCTCCTAATGCAAGCTTCTGCCGAGGGAGGTGCTGCGGAAATGACGTAAAAACAGAGCGTCCAGTCGACGCGCCCACGAGGAACAGGGGCGGGTCTAGGCACCCCCTCGGTGACGCCTCCAGTGACGTCACTGCCCGGCTCCTGCCACGCCCCCCCCGCCTTGCTTCTGGGGAAGTTCACGTTTGGCCACATAGGTCCTCGATCCGTGAAAGTAGAAAATCATCGCTTGGACTGCCACCACTTATAGGAGCCAACGTTAAATGCAATGAGTTTATTCGGGAGTCCAGCTTCAGGACCCGTGAGCTCTTTTAGGGGGTGTGACGGCGCTGGTGGCACTCCTGGCCTCCGAACGCTAGGAGGCGCTGTAATCTCCGTGGGGGGCCTCTTGGGCGCTGGGAGTTCAATGCGCAAGCGCACTCAAGGTTTTTTTTTTTCCCCTTTTCCTCCGTTGGCACGTGTGAAGCTTTCCGGCAAAGTTTTGGGGGAAAATGCCCAAATATAAGGCGGCTCGCGGAGCTGCGGGTCAGGAAAAACATGCTCCCCTGGCTGAGCAGATCCTGGCTGGGGACGCGGTGCGGGCAGGAGCCCGGGAAAAGCGGCGGGGTCGTGGGACCAGAGAAGAGGAAGAGTATGTGGGGCCCCGGCTGACTCGACGGATTTTGCAGCAAGCACGGCAGCAGCAGGAGGAACTCGAGGCCGAGCATGGGACTGGGGACAAGCCCGCAGCGCCACGCGAGCGCACCACGCGGCTGGGTGAGTGGTGGGGGGTGAGTGCCGGGAGAAGGGTGGTTAGTTTATGGGGGTAAGTAGGCGGCCAAAAGGTATCTGGCAGGGGAATCGTTTGAAATCAAGAAAATCAAATAAAATAAATAAGGGGTCCGCATTACACCCTTGCAAAGGTAATGAAATGAGAGACCCAGCTCTGGAGCAGATTTAAAACCACTTGTAGTTTTAGATACTCGCTTCTAGGCACCCCTGCAGTTAGACCAACAGGGAGTAGTTGCTCACGCCACTGAGCGCTCCTTACATTTATCCATTTGTTCTATACATTCTTGGGAGTTGTCTAGTCCGTGCTTTGCACTGTGCTAGGAGTTTAGATGGTTTGGGTAAAGAAGGAAACAAGATAGCCACGTGCCTGACTTCAGGATCTTACAGTCTAGCCCAAGAGAGAGACAATTAAATTGATGATTAGAATAATACATTCCAGAATAAAGAAAGTATAGTTTTTCTTAGAACAGTAGCATTACTTTTGGGGGTCAGACTTCCCAGATTGCATAACCTTTGTGCTGAGACTTGAAAAACGAGTGGAGAGTGCTTTGAGCAGAAAGAATGATCTTGTTTAGGTGCTCAAGAGGGAGAGAGACTAATTAAAAGATGGTCAGTATTATTAGGGTGGAAGTGTTGACCTCCAAGTCGCTTAATCTATCTCTCAGATCTCTTTCATTTGTCGTGAGAGCAGTATTGGACACAATTGAACACTGGCCTCCTGGCTTCAGTATCTTTTGCTGGCTCCTCTTTTGTCCCCAGCCTCCTATCATTGATGGGCCACAAATTTCAGCTCTTGGATCTCTTCTCTTCATGTCACTTTTCTGGTGCTGTCATCAGTTTCATGGTTTAAGTGCCATCTACTTAGTGACTGCTCCTAACTTTGTATTCTTGCCCTGATCTCTTCCATGAAAATCAGATTCTATTTCAGCTGCCTATTTGACATCTCCCATTTGAAGTCTAATAGACACCTCAAATTTAATGTGTCCAAAACAGAAATCCTGATATTCTCGCCAAACCTGCTCCTCCCGCTGTCCTCCTCATCTCAGTTAATAGGATGATATTCTTCCATTTGCTCAAGACAGAAACCTTGGACTCCTCCCCTTCTTACTCCACATCTAATTTGTTAGGAAATCCTGTTGACTCTACCTTCAAAATAGATCCAGAGTCAGACCACTTCTTTTTTTTTTTTTTTAAGATTTTATTTATTTATTTGATAGAGAGAGTGAGGGAGCACAAGCAGGGGGAACAGTAGAGGGAGAAGCAGACTCCTCGC